GGGGGAGGATGGGCGTTCTGTACTGCCATAAACGGGAAGAGGTAGGAGAAAACTCCAGGTGACCTTGCATTCTGATTCCCTTAGGATCTGGAAACTTGATATTTCTTTAGCAGAGTCTCCTCAGAGAAAGAGACATGGTAGCCAACTCCGGGAGCAGACAATGGAGAGCCATCTTGGTGTTTCTGTGATTGTGCGGCATTACTGGGGAGCAGCCAGCCCCCCCTGGGGTAGCAGTTTGAGCAAGAAGAAAGAGCATCCTCCTCTCCCTTTGAAGTCTAGATGAAAAATGCCAGAGCTTTGGGATTCGGGCAGAGAAAATTGATTTGGGAGCAAAAAAACAAACAAACAAAAAAGGCTTTCTGCTCTTCCTTTCCTCCCCCTGCCAGTTTTAGGTGTCTCCTTAGAGGAGTCCTGTAAGAAAACAGAACATTGAATATGAAGAGAGAGAACTTGAAAAGCACTGTGTGCGGGTCTCACTTTTCGAGAATCTGCTTTCAGACAGAAACAAATGGGTCTTTACACACCTTCCCAGGATCCCTGATTTCTTCTTGATAACCTCACCTTCCACTTCACAGCCGAGAGTGCCCCTGACTCCCTGCCCCCAGCTCCAGGGCTTTCGCCCAACCACCTTGGGAAGGTCAGGAAAATTGGAGTTGCCCTCTGGAGCTACGGACATAAGACTCAGAACTTAGACCGATCTCTTTTCATTAAGCAGTGCCCTGGCTTAACAAGCAGTTTTATAAATCTGAAGCTGTCTCCGGGTGTCGCAGGATTTATAGATGGGGGTTTCTGCCATAAAGTGGTTTATGATGGCTGCCTTCTGTGTTATTAGTAGCTGTCTCTTCCTTCAACCATTGCTGTTTGATAATAGCCTTAAAACACCCAGAATTACTTACCTGCAAGCCCCATTCCCGATAGCCCCTGTTGACAGTCTGAATAAGTTTACTGCCCTTTTGTTGTACTTTACCTTCAAAACAAACTGATTGAACCATCAATAGCTCGTGGAAGCTGACAGAGGCATGTCATCTGGACTAGCCCTTGTGATTGCAGGTTATCTGGGGGAGTTAACCTTCCCGCATTGTTAACTGAAATGTTTTATGTACTATGCAACTTTAGGATACGGCTGTGATAACCCCAGTAACTAAGTAATACATCACAGTAAAGAGATTTTGGTGCAACAAATAACCCTGGATTAAATTTACAAGGGTCGAATTGATATTGTAAAAGCCTTCATTCTGTGGCTTCGGGAATCCTCGGTTGTATTTTTATGGCAAACTTGTATTATACTCAGGATTGAAGCTGCAGCTTTTGACACCCTGACATGACCTAGAACAAAGGGAAATAGATCTCTCAAGACTGGGATGGGGCAGGCAGGCAGAAAGCCCGCTGACTTATCACTTGGCAATAATGTTTGGAGCTAGTTCCAAACCACCCAGGGGCAGGGAGATCGGGTGGATGTGACTACCTTTGGAGCGCTGTGTACCACAGACACTGGGGTAGGGCAGACCGTGAGCAGAATTGGGAGGGAGATTCTTCACCTTACCAACCTCATAATTCCAAAACTATTATGCATCGTGGTGTTATTTTCACTTGGACAGTGGTTTGCGCACAATCCGTGGCATCAGCCACCCCGAGAACTTATTGGAAATGGACACTCCCGGCCCTAGGGGATCGGAAATTCTGGGGGTGGGGTCCTGTGATCTGTATTTCAACAAGCCGTCCAGGGGATGCTGATGCCCTCTTAAGTTTGAGAGTGACTGTGCTGGAATATAAGCTGCTTGAGAGCAGGGGCCTTGTCTGTTTCACACCTCACCTTATTCTTGGCACCTGGCACGGTTTGTGACAGGTGGTAGCAGCTCGCTAATTATTGATTGTGTGAGTGAATGTATGAAGCCATCTCTAAGGGAGGAACTTTGGAACCTGGGCTGAGTCTCAGGCTGAATTATTTGGGGGCAAGCCTTCCTAGTGTCCCTCAAACCTCTCTAAGCACCTACCACCTAGAAACCCCAGGCCGGCCCGTCAGGATGGGAGTCAAGTCAGCCCTAGTTTCAGGGATGACTGGCAGCCTATTTCATGGGCTGTTTCTTCGATTGTTTAAGATGAGTGCTCTGAAAACAGCAGCTCTTTGTCATCTAAAATTTTTAACTAGCTTAAAAGCCAGCACCTCTCTCTCTCTCCTTTGATTTCAGGGCTGTGATCCAAAGTGGGGCAAAATGACAACGTGCTGTCTGTTGTCATCGTGGTTCCTGCCAGCCCCGTGAAGACATCTTTCATTCCATCATTAAACATTGGCTGATTTTCTAATACTGATGTTTTCTTCACCTGAATATTCATCTTTTCCCACCCTACACTTAGTGGGTGTCTTTACTCCTCTGAGCGTCACTCCTGACATATTGTTTCCGTCTGTAGATGTCTTTATTTGAAAGAGTCTGTTGTCATCAAGACTTCGCTGCTATACGCAGAAGATGGAAGTTTTCTTTGACACTGACTGAGGCCAGTGGGAGTTCTGTTGGAGGATAGAAGTTCATTTGAGGCTTCATGAAACTTTCTGATTTTGGATAAGTTTAGAGGGCATTTGGAAAGGCAAGGGAGAGGCTCAGGGAGAAGTTGGAAAGATGATCGTAGATTGAGACCAGGGAGGAAGCTGGAAGTAGATAGTCAAATTTCCAGAACCTCAGATGTTGGGGTGGCCACTTCTGGGGAAGAAAAGTATACCTCAAAAAACTCAGAGTATTTTCACTTTAAGGAGTATTTCAACTAGAAGCCTCTATGCTGTTTTCTCTGGCATTTCAATGATCAGCCACATCTTTGGGCAAGTATATGGAGGCCACCTGGTGATGTAAGACCATCTTATGAAGGTGGGAGCTGGCTTTGGGAACCCAGTGCTCCCGTGAGGAGGGGGGCATGCTATAACACCCCAGGTAACATTTGCACTGAGAAAAAGCTCAGTGCTTAAGATTGCTTTAGGGTTTTGTTTTTTGAAGATCACTTTTGATTTCTTGTTTCTCCTCTTTCTCCTCCAGCCATTGGTTTTCAGTCATTCAGTGAGTAATGTTAGGTCCCTTTCTTTGTGCTCCCCAGAATTAGTTTGCACATAACCCCAATCTCAGCACTTAGCTGTGTGGATTTCTAATTTTTCTGTATGAGTCTATCTTCCCCATTATACTGAGAACCCTTTTACGAGTAGAAATCACGTTATAATCACCTCTGTGTACCTAGGGCCTGGCACATGTTAGGTGCTCAAGAAATATTCATACAACTGAAATAAACTGGTATTTTTTTGAGTCCATTCTAAAGCTACTTTTTGAGACAATATGAGGGTGAGAAAAATAACGTCCCTGCCTTTAAGAAGCTTATAGGTGAGGACATCAACTGAACACCAATAAAATGATTAAAAAACAACCAAATGTTATATGGTGTGGTGTTCACAGTATATCCTGGGAGTGCAGAGAGGGGAGAAAACAATATGGTCTGGAGATGCAGAAGAAAAGTTCATGTGGGTTGGGATTTAAAAGGTGAGTGAATACTGAAGAGGCTGAATACAGGAAGGAAATGACAGATTCCTGTGGAGATAATCTATTGCTCTTGACATTGGATACTTACCTCTTCTTCCTAAGCAGGACAGGGTCTAAACAATAGCTCCTTTGAGTGATCAAGTATGGGGGCTCAATGGAAAGCATCTGGGTTGGTAACTGTTCCTGAGGAAAAAGTATAGGCAGGTATCTGTACCCTTTATGTATTTATTTGTATGTTTATATACCTATCCCATGGCCTCGTGGATCTTCTCATCAATTCCAAATATACCTGCTTGAGGATAGTTCATCACACAAGTAACCATTAGCTTATCCTTGGAGGCCATGATGGACACCGAAGACTCTTTGTGGGGGAATCTGTATTAGTATTTGTTGGGCTATTAAATTAATATCCCCTATAAGCTGATTCTTCTTCTTTCACCTTGGTAAAAATAATCTTAGTGCCAGTGTGGAAGTAACTCAGGGATGATGAGGAAAATCCTCAAGACCCCTGTTCAATTCTTCAAGGAAGCATTTCTCAGTTATGTGTGCTCCTTACTTCTATCCCAAAGTCATCTATGTTATTACAACCTCTAGTTTATTGTCCTGGACGGCTAGTCAATGTTTCTTGTTTTAGTTTCAAATTGAAGATTTATTTTGTTTTGTTTTGTTTTAAAGATTTTATTTTTAAGTAATCCTTACACCCATTGTGGGGCTTGAATTTACAACCCTGAAATCAAGAGTCACATGCTCTACTGCCTGAGCCAGCCCGGCATCCCAAAGATTTGCTTTTATCTCAGAAATGAGAGTTACACAGATGACTCATGGGAATGGCAGTGGCATAATAGTACAATTAGGTTATAGGTTAGTTTCCCTGAGAACTTTCTGTGTAGCAAAGAAGCCGGGCCCATTTCTAGAATGGAAGGGTGGGGGGATATACATTGATAGGATCTTCCTGGCTCATTGGGTGTGTGCATTCTTGTGTGTGTGTGTGTGAGTGTGTGTGTATGTGTGTGTGTGTGTCTACATTTGAATCAAGGGCAATCATTAGCATACATTTTTAAGGATTAGTTGTGTGTGTAAAATATAATTATGTGGATTTCTGCAAAGAGTGATCATTCATTATTTGTGAAAAAAAAGAGAAGCAGAGCCAAAGTCTAAACTTCTGAGGACCTAATGATGTAGATCCCTGAGCATGAGACAAATTGCATGGATCTTTGAGGCCATCACCTACCCTCCTGCATTGTCTCTGTTTTCTTTCTTTTTTTTTTTTTTTTAAGATTTTATTCATTTATTTGACAGAGAGAGAGACACAGTGAGAGAGGGAACACAAGCAGGGGGAGTGGGAGAGGGAGAAGCAGGCTTCCCGCTGAGCAGGGAGCCCGATGTGGGACTCGATCCCAGGATCCTGGGATCATGACCTGAGCCGAAGGCAGACGCTTAACGACTGAGCCACCCAGGCGCCCCTGTCTGACTGTTTTCTTTCAGATGCTTTGTTCTGCACAAGCTGCCCAATTTGAAGTTTCTGGATGCCCGGAAAGTAACCAGACAAGAACGAGAGGAAGCTTTGCTCAGAGGGTCATTCATGAAGGTGGTGAAGCCCAAGGTAAGCTGCCTACTTTCTGGTCTTCACAAGGGACTTAGGTCTTGCCTCACTGGTTATTCTTGGAGCATGGAGGATGTTCATCTATGTTTGGAATGCAGGAGAGGTCTCCCATCAGGGTTTTATCCATGGATATACTGTTGGCCCATCAAGAAGTAGGACTTCTACAATAAATTGGATCTTCCTGTGATCCAGCTAAGGGGACCTTATTTGTAAGGTGATTTCACCCAAGTGGCTCTTTTTTTTTTTTTTTAAAGATTTTATTTATTTATTTGACAGAGAGAGACACACTGAGAGAAGGAACACAAGCAGGGGGAGTGGGTGAGGGAGAAGCAGGCCTCCCGCAGAGCAGGGAGCCCCGATGTGGGGCTCGATCCCAGGACCCCGGGATCATGACCTGAGCCGAAGGCAGACGCTTAATGACTGAGCCACCCAGGCACCCCCCCAGGTGGCTCTTTTACCAATAAAGCAGCACCATATGCAGCCCAATGGTGATGTTCTGGGGGCAGATTTCAGGTCTCCTTCTTGAAGATGTTTTGTTTACAAGGTGGGGCCTCTGCAGGTCTGTAGCAGAGAAAGAAGACAGCTTGGATTCCTCAGATGGATAAGATTCCTCTAGTGACCCAGAGGGAGCTCTCCTGTCTTGGGGCCATAGTGGAGGTAGGGGAGAGTGATTTTCTTCTGTTCATAGGTATGAGGGCTCAATAGCTCTTGGAGATATTATTAGCAGGAAAGGCCATTTTTTTCCTGACAATATGACCTGGGACTAGCATCTTCTCCCTACATGCAGTTCTCTAGAGCTCATGGGAATAGTTTTACTGACCTTTCCTTTATCAGCTGAGTCTGTGTCGAGGCCATGGAAGTGAATATGGTGTCATCTTAATGACAGTGTTGATGAGGCAGGGGAGATGTGGCTTTGAGTATTGGATTCAGATTCAAAGAGATTTTTAAGGATGTGAAAAATTATCTGTTTGGGAGGAGTTGGGGTCCTTCCATGAAGCCCAAGGCCAAGGAATGGACCAGATGGCCCTTGATGACTCCTTTCAAGGTGCATTACTGCCCCAGGGCCCTGTGGAGCTATCTAGTCACTTCCTGTGGGATCCCAGCTTGTGTGTTGAAAACACTGGCCCAGAAATCTTGGAGGTCTAGTTTGTCCTCGCTTATTGACTTAGAGCGCCTTACACATGCATTGGAAATGATTAAGAGGGAAAGAGAAAAAAACAAACAGAACCCAAACAGAAAAAGGAAACCTCTTCCATCAAGTCTCTCGGCTGGCAGCCGGCCTCAGGCCACTTTCTTTCCCTGAATCTGTGAGGTGCAACTTATTTCCCGTTATGCTGAATAAAATTGCTAACAGTTGTGGAAATATATGATACAGAGGGTATAATACTGGTAGATAAATGTATTGTTACCTGTTTCAGCATGTGGGAAATTAATTGAGTGATTCGTTTCATAGTTATTAAAGTGTTAACAATTTTCCTTATCGAGGCACAAATTTGATGTATTGCTCATGACTGCCTTTAGTTATTTCAGCTTTTGTAATTTTGTCCAAATGAAATAATTTATTTCTTGGCCTCCTTTATTTTTTTGGTTAAAAGATTTCAGAGGCAGCCGACATCACCAAACAAAGGACAACAAATGAACTGTTTATAATATCTTGGGTTCCTGCCCATTCGACATTTTCCACCTTCATGTATGCATGCCCTTTCTAGGACAGATCGGTATTTCTCCTGCTCCCCCTGTTCTTGACAGGGGAAGCTCTGCATTATCCCAGGAACTCTGAAGGGGCACTAAATACAATACCCCACCTGTGTGCTCACCGCTGCCCTAAGGCTCTTTGTATTCAGATCTGTGAGTCCTCACACAATCCCCCCCTGAAATGTAGGAGGAAGGGAGCATTGGCTGACTCTTAGGTGGGGTAACTGAGGCCTAGAGGTGTTAATTGGGCAGCCCAGCTAAGTTAATTGGGCAGCCTGGCTAGTAAGAGCTGGGACTGGAGCTTGACCGGTGTGTCTGACCACAGAAGCCACATCCTTCAACTGGGATCTTACCCCTGGAGCCAGTGAGCCGCCCATTTTCCCTGTGCATTTCTCTGTTCCAAATAAAAACCTCCTAAGAAGGCCTAAAGGAAGAAAACAGGTAAAAGCTGCCCTGCTCTCTTGGGGTCGAGATGGCAGCCAGGACTGAAATCCCACCTGGCCTTTGAAAGCAAGTGGGAAGGGCTCCTTAAAATCCAGTAGTAGCCAGCTCTCTGAGTCATGAGCAGCATGAGCAGACATGATTTTCAAAGCTCCAAATTAGTTTCTAATCAATTATAGAATTAGCTTATGTTTGTGTGATTGACTCCCACATCTTTACTAATGGTGTTAAGCTTAAAAATACCCATTAATTAGTTGAGGAGAGACAAAAGATGCTCTGACAAAGCATGGGGATCTTCAACTGTTACCTTTTTGGAGAGTCACATGATTTCTACACTGGAGAGGACTTCCAAAATCACCTGGTGTATGCCGTCGTTTGATGGGTGAAGGAACCAGGTGAGGAGGTTGTGTCTGGAGGCCCCCACGGTCTGGTGGAGGCAGAGCTGGGATCAAAACCCAGGGGCCTGGGCTCCCGGTGAAGTGCTGTATCTACGCCCTGATGCTTCACACGCACAGGACTTACTTGGCTGTGCCCCCGCGTTCACATCACACTATATGCTTCTCTCGAATGCCAGGCTGCTCTCCCCGGCCTGTTTTCGGAGATACGCATTGGTACTTTTCTTGCAGAGAGAACGAGTCCAAATGAGCTTCTTGCTGAATTAATAAACTGGTGTTAAAAAGGCTGGTTCTCGCCTGCTCACAGTGTGTGCAGACGTCTGTTTGTTCCTGTGCAGGTGTGTATATATGCCCTCGATCTCTGTGTGTGTATACATATGTATGTTCTGGGAGGTCTGTGTACACCCGGAGTCAGCTTCTAAGTGAAGAGCAATTTCCTCCCTGTGAATTGCCGATGCTGTGCTGAGCACACTTGGTGAAGACCTATTTTTCATCACAGAATCGGAATCTCAAGTTGGCTTCTGTCCTTTCTCAGGCTGCAGTGGCCTGTTGTGCTTATTCAGCAGAATGCTCTGATGGATGGTCCAGGAGGCCGTGATTTGGGGAGCAGTTTTCATTTTATTCCTGACAAAGTGTTTGGGAGAATGGAAAATGCCTCTCCAATCACAGCCCTTGCCTTGGAGGTAGGGAACAGGCAGTCTGGGTGTTCTCGGCTGATGCAAAAGCAAAATCATCCAGGAACTAATAAACCCCCTATGTCACAAAGGTTTGATTTGATACCTGGCAGGCCCTGGCGCTTGAGTGCGAGTTTGCGCTAGCCTTCTCTCGTGATGACACATTTCCCCTTCGTTGCTGCCTTTTGGCTTTTGTTGTTTAAAAGCTGCTTTCTGTCTGAGCTCTGATTGTCCTATAGAAAGATGCCATCACTCATTAAGGAAGTGATAGCTAATGCTACAATGGACTCTTCTAGGCTGGTGTGTTTGTCTTGTTAGTTAATGGACCCACAGCAACTAGGCTTTGCTCATTTCCTGGAATTTTAAAGAAAAGCTGTATCTTTTTTTTTTTGCAAATATTGGCCATGGAGTCATGCCATTGTCAATGCCAAGAGCACCAAGCTGGATGCAGAGAAGGTGGGGAGGCTCCCAAAGAAAGGCTTCTGTGATGACCAGACCATGATCCCCCTTGCCACATCAGGCAACATAAATCAAAGGGGCATGAAGCCTGTCCAGGAGGGTATGCATGGTGGGCATGCCAGCCCTACACATCAGACAGTTCAAGAACCCGACAGTCAGAATTGCTTAATTATGTCCTGGCTTTGTAATTATTCATCCCTGTTCTGGCAAAGAGCACAGTTGTCATTTCTTTGACATAATTATTTAAAGCTGAGCCCTCTTGTTTACAGGCATGTATATGAAGTTGGCTACCAACTGTGTAATCTTCAGAACGTTATAGAAGCAGTGGGGAGAGCAGCTCAGGGACAGCTGGACTGAGAATCACAGCCTGTGTTAGAAAGTGTTTTGATATGTGTACTGTTGCTCATAATTGTGGTCATTCTGTTACAGGTGAGAGAAGGTAATGGTTATGTTTGTGTCAGTGTGTCCTTGAAAATATGTAATGCATGCCTTTATGTGGGCATGCCTGGGTTTCCTATCGTGTGTAGTTTGTGTATTTGTGGAGTTTTGTATAGTTTGTATATTTGTGTGTGTGTGTATCTTTGAGGTATTTTTTCCTGGTGGGTGGAAGCTGTGTGTGTGTGTGTGTGTGTGTGTGTGTGTGTGACAGAAAAGGAGGGAAGGGGAAGGAGGGAGAGGGAGATGTGATATGTTAAAGGAATAAACTTCTGAGTACATGTACCTTCTGGAAGTCTTTTTTATTCCTGACCTTAAACTGAAAGTTGGAAGTTATTTGGAGTCTGAGGATCACCTCTTTCCATGGCTCCACTACACAGTCCTGCTTCTGACATTGGCATTAGGACCCAATTCCCTGGTTTCCTTTAGTTTCCTTCATCTTTGTCTATGTTTTTGGATTCACACACACACACACACACGGCAACCTAGGATAAAGATAGGGAACGGAAGCATTGGGAAGCCAGATTTTTGTCAGTTGCTCATCTACTGAGATGTCAGCTCCACGAGGGTAGGAACTTGTTTGTTTTTATTGCCACCATATCCCCAGTGCCTGGTTTGTAGCAGAGGCTCAGCCAATACTCGTCAAAAGAATAAACTGGGAACAACAGAACATTTTGGAAGATCCATTGTGAAAGGTGGTCCATTTTTTTTATTGTTTCAATATGGTCCTCTGGAAAAGCAGGAAAGGGACCTCTGCCTTAAAAAAAAAAAATGTAATAGCTCGAATCTGTGCATTGGCAGAAAGGAGAGATTCTAGGTTGAGTGTTTGTTTTTCCAAAGGATTTACCCTGGGATTACTTATGATGGCATAACCTATGGCCACCCTGATCACCAGCCTGGG